GAATCATTCGAATAATTCATCTTCGTTTTTAAAATTTAAAATTTTAGTTTATGCAGAAAAAATTCTATTTTTTAATAGATATAGATATAATATGAATTATTTTCAAATTAAACATTATATCAAACCATATAAAATAGAAAAAAAATTATAAAAAAAAATTTGTCTTGTCATTTTTTCACATGGCAGAGATTGCTACAGTGTGTCAGAGGTGTAAAACGGAACAAAATAATTTCTCTCAGCATCCACACTTAATTGATTTTGTTTTAGTCTACTGTTTCTTATTATTTTTTTAAAGAGGAGTTTACATTGATTCACTCTTTCAATAATATTTTTTTCTTTTTACTTGTGGCATTGTAATATTCTAATTGGTGTTAATATCTGTCTATGGTTTCTAACAGCACGATTTTAAAATTTGATAGTTTGATTCTCTAATTTCGGTGTTGGTTATTCACTATATAGATCGTGTTTGTTGTAAACATGACACCATTAAGAAAACCAATGAGCTTAATTATAACCAAAAGATTTAATAGTTATTTCTTGAGTAATTTTCTAAAATACCACAATTTAAAGTTTTGTTTCTAAAAATAACATCAAAAGTTTTTTTTTTTATCAAACCGATTAGTATTATCCTCTTAAACTCCATATTAGGAGAAAATGTTTCAAGATGCAATACCAAATTTAGCTAACGCATCGACTAAAACATTTTCCGAGCGAGGGATAAAAACAAAAAGATAGATGTAAAATCCTCCCTAAGACAACGAATGTCGTAAAGGAGAGATTTCAACTCGTTAATTACACCATTCGTATTGAGAAGTGTAACTAGCGAGAATGAATCTGAGAAGCAGTTAAAGACTCGAAAACTCCCGTTCCTAGCTGCAATTAAGGCAGTTTTTAGAGCAAGAGACTCCGCAACCAAAGCCGAAGCCACATTTGATCTGCTGTACGAGAATTGGGCCATCGTCTTCAGGTTTGAGTCTTTGAAATACCAGCCGACACCACACTCTCTAGACTCAGCTAGCTAAGAGACGTCCTTAAAACAAAATTTTTGTGGTATTTTTGAAATTTAAAATTTTTGATGCTATTTTTGAAAACGAAATTTTAAAGTGTGGTATTTTTTAGAATTGTCTTAATTTTTTCTGATTTCTTAAATGTTCATTTCATATAATTATCGATTTACTGGAATTGGTCGTTAGATTTTCCATATATTCAGTGTGAGTTCTCTTGCCTCGGCCAACTAATAGAACATTTGAAGGCTGATCTTGAAGTACAGAAAAACTTGTGGTGACAATTTTCAATTATCTCTCTTGATCGTCTTTGGTTTTTATTTTTTGGTCTCTTCTCAAGCAATACATATTTTCTTAAGATTCAGTTGTGTTTTTCAAAGGATTTATAACTAAAATTTGATGTCATTAATCGCGCGGGTTGTTTCCTAGTTTGATTTACAGGGTGTATTCAATTTCATTTAATCGCGCGGGTTGTTTCCTAATTTGAT